AGTTGCTGTCTGATGTGTCACAAATGAAAGGGCTCCTTCCTTTCATGGCAGGGCCTTTGAGCCAATCAGGTCTCTGCTAGAAGAGTGCAGGATGTGGTTTCCCCTTTCCCTTGCAGCTCCACCGTGCCCTCCCATGCTTTTCTGGAGAATTTTCCAAAACAAGGTTCTTGTAGGGCAGATGGGATTTCATTGTGAAGTTGGAATTGTTGAAAATAATCTGTTCCCCCATTTTGCCAGTTGGAACCGCTCTGTGAATAAAGCTCAGCTAATAACTCAGGTGCCAAACCCATATGTTATGGTGTAGAAACTCCTCAACATAATATCTGTAAAGTTTCATCAATGCTAAGTGCCTAAAACCTGGTTTTTACTCTCTGTCGTGCATAGCTTACACTCCATGTTCTCTGACTACAGCAGTGCTGTAGCAACAATCTCTGATCTCTGCTGCCTTTGTCCAGACCTGATGATGTGGCAGATATTGGCCCATTAGCTGAGGCCTGGGGCAAGTTCATCCCATGCATAAAGTTCAGAAGAGACGTCAAGTGCTATTTCCATAGGCCACCTGATCTAATTTTATTTAAATCATTAACATACTGCTGGAAAAAATGTTTTGTTAATTATAATGACTAGGAGGAAAAGGTCACGGAAGAAAGAAGATTGCATATTCCTTTTAAAAACGTTTGACAGCATGGCGGTAACTTTATTGAGTTGAACTATGGTTTTCTCTTACCTGTTCAGGTGTGCAATAGGAGGCATGAGTAGACATTACCCTTAGGTAGTCTATTTTGTTTCTACTACAAATCCAAGATCCACCAACTAGAATTTAATACAGAGGGGATTTGTTTAGAGCAGTGATTCTCAACCTTGGGTAACCCATGTGTTCTTGGACTGCAGTTCCCGGAAGCCTTCACCACCAGGGTTGCTGGCCAGGGTTTCTGGGAGTTGCAGTCCAAGAACTGCCTTCAGGAGTCCCGAAGGCAGCTCGTGTCGTTCTGCCAACTCCTGCGACATTGCTGGAACCAATTGTATTGGCTCTTGCCTTTCCACTGGACCATTTCAGCAATGTGGAGAGGGGGGATCTGCTGCTTGGGTAACAGCCTATCCTCCATATTACCTTACCCGGGCTTCATGCTCTGGAGAGGACACTCCTCTATTCAGCGCATGTCACCATAGTCTCTCGAGACTGAAGGATGCCTATGAGTCCAAGAACACCTGGGTTACCCAAGGTTGAGAATCACTGGTTTAAAGTATCAGAACTGGACAGCTCTTACTGTCCTTCCATAGAAATCTCAATTTATTATCCCATGTTTCCTTTATTTTAGCAGTTTGATTCACAGTGGTGGACAGCATCGTTTTGTTGTTGCTAGAAACCCAATATTCACCAACAAGAGCTCGGTACATAAGTGATTTGTTTAGAGTACCAGAACTGAGCAAGTACATCACCTTCCTTCCACACAAAACTCAGTTACTGGCAACTCCATGTTTCGTCTATTTCAGCGGTATGATTCACAGGGATGGACAGGGTCATTTTTTTAATGACTGGGAAATAAATTTATTCCCAGTTGTAAATAACTTTGAATCAGGATGCTGATCTTTAGAAATCACCCAGAGGTCTATTAAGTTATCCAAACTACGTTCTGCACATTCTGTAGAACTACACTCTGACCATCTTTAGCCTTTCAACTATTTTGGACTTCAGTTCCTCAATGTTCTTAGCTAACATGGCCAGTTGATAAGATTGAGTAGATCAGGACTCTACTCCAAAGTATTTGAGGGGCCAAATGTTTCCCAACTCTGGCATTAAAAAGTGTTTGTTAAATGCTTGTGCCAGACTTAATAGACATAAGTGCCAGATGCTACCTATTGAAACTTCTCTCCTGGAGCATTTAGACAATCTATGTTGTTTTCTAGAGTGTACATGCTTTTCTTTTCATCATTTTTTGTCTGCTACTATAGCAAAATATTTCCCCCTTTATACAGCAGTTTTTAATCACCACTATCATAATAGTGATGATCACCACCATCTCATTATATGCAAAGTAACTCTATTCCATTTTACCACAGGTAAATATTTTCCCACTGTGGCAGCAACATTTTCTTGACATCATCATGCCGCCTAGAGTGGTCGTTCGACTAGATAAGCGGGGTATAAATGCAATAAATCAGTAAATAAATAAATCATAATGAAAAAAATAGCAAAGTAACATTGTAGGAACCAGCATCTTTACATGTACAAAATTACTTTGAGCAATCATAATAGGTCTGTACCTTCCCTAGATTAATATGAAGAACATACATTTCAAGACATGCAGCTTCTATATGCATTTCCTGTTACAACCTTTATAGGACATAGCTTAGATTTGGTTCATCTTTAACCTTATAGATTTATTACAGTGTCTGAAATTATCTGCTGCTGACTGAAATGATTATATTACAAGTTATTACATATTATATACGTCTTCCTGCACATATAACAAATCAGTTGTAATTTAATTGGTAACAACACTTTGGAATGTAGCATTTAAGCAAACTTGTTTGCTTATATTCTTTGCTACAACTTACTAATTGCTATTAGTCAGACAGAAGCAAATGCTAAATATAATTTCATTTCATTTTCAAATATTGTCAAATAGTAATTAAGTGTTTCAGGTTGGCTATCAAATATTATTACATGCCAAACATGGTTCCACAGCTGGATATTTCTCTATGCTCTTTATGTCTTGAGGGAAACACACAGAAAAGTATCTGGTTGCTGCCAAAGGCTGAGTATTTTGCATGGCAGAGAGACAAGCATTTTGCTGTTGTGCATAGTCAGGAAGAAGCTCCTGTCATCAGCTATAGGAGAACATAAAGCATGCTGTTCAAAGTGGATGCTGCCAACTAGCTTTCTTTTTCTTATGTGCGGGGGGGGGGGCAGGGGACTGCATTGCTGAAAATGCATCACCTAAAAAAGAAGTGGACACAGCTTTGCATATCATTTCAAGTGCAATTTGAATTATATTGCATATAATTTCAGATGTTATCCAGCTAGCTAATTTATGTATATAGATTCCTACTTACTCTGATTGAAGGATGGGAGATTTCAGGACCCTTGCTTTCCCTCTCTATGTTGCTGCTTTTGTTCTTAATCTTCAAACATTTTTCAAAATGGACAGCCCTTCAAATAGAGGATTGTCCACTCAAAGCCTTTCACAGAGAGGATCCTACTTGAGCATCCTCCACCTGAAAAGATTATTCTTCAACTCAGGCAGTAAAATGCCTCAGGCCAGTTCTGCTCAAGAAGAATCTTGAGTTGATTGGAAACAGCTCACAACACATCAATGTTGTAAAGGTTTTTTGTTTCTGTTTTTGAAATATCCAGGTTATTAATCAGATCACTTTAGAAGCTTGGCAATTACTGACTAGCATGTGGGGTCAGAGCTTGGAAAGTTCCTTTTTTGGATGATAGTTCCCATCACATACACATTAAAGACAGTATAGCCAGTGACTGAACTACCATGTTTCCCCAAAAATAAGACCAGGCCTTAAATTTTTGCTACAAAAATTCATTAGGGCTTTCAAAAATAAGACCAGGCCTTATATTTTTGCTACAAAAATTCATTAGGGCTTATTTTTAGGGGATGTTTTATTGTTTTCGTGTACAACAATCTAAATTTATTCAAATACAGTCTTGTCATCTTCTTCTGGTTGTTGCACAATGGTGGCGGGTGGGGTTTCACTTAACTGGGGCTTGTTTTTGGGGTAGGATTTATATTACAAGCATCCAGAAAAATCATACTAGGGCTTATTTTCAGGTTAGGTCTTATTTTTGGGGAAACAGAGTAGCTATGAGAATTAGGGAACTTTTGAACAATGTGTATTTTTTCCAAGTTTTACATATGATGGATGCATTGGTGGCATAATCAGATTATGTTGTACCTGCAAAAGAAAAGTGATAAATCCAAATTCTCAGACAGGAACCACTTTTAATATGGGAAATGTGCAAATATGGACACATTTATATGTAAAAAAAATCATAAATAGTGGGAAATTTAGGGATGAACTGACATGAGTGCAACAGCTAAATCCTATTGCACTTGGCATAGTGTAAATTTATGGGGTGTTACACCCAGGCCGTTTGCATGTCTGTGCAAGGAACCACACTCTGACCACACAATTGACCATGCAACTCACCATGCGACTGCATTTGCAGAAGTGCTTCCTGGAAAAATTGTGCAAGGAACCACACTCTGACAACACAATTGACCATGCAACTCACCATGCAACTGCATTTGCAGAAGTGCTTCCTGGAAAAGACATTGGCCTTTATGTAAATTTCATGACACCTTGCACAACTCCAAGTTAAAGAGCCATAGTTAAGCAACAGAATCTCAACCGGTGAGAGAGCAAATCAGGATGGATCTCAGTGGATGTGACAATATTGTGGCATTATTTTCATTTCAGAATGCAAGCTATTCTGCTTAGCAATACAATTTAGTTGTGAGAAGATAGGCAGGACTGCATGGTTTCATCTGTTTTCATTGAGTGTAAAAAGGAGAGGAGCTAGCCTCTTCAACTTTAGGTTTCTTCCCAAAAGTCACAACCTCAGGACAAAGAAAGAGTGCATACAAGCAGTCATCATCACCTCCATCATCGTAAACCACTTGTCCCTGCAGTCTACAGATGATCATTTTTTTCCACTGTATGAAAACAGGGTGAGGAGGGGGGAACACTTAAGCCTGATATGGAAAAAGATTATAGGGTGTGTTTTTCAAAATGATTTGTTATGATGATAACTGCTTGTCTGCAATTATTGATAAAAGAGCACATATCCTATGTGAACTGAAGAGAGAAACTGAAAGTGGATGATATGTAACAAGGCACTGTGAAAATCAATTAAGACAGGAGCTTATACAAATAGCTCTCAGTTTCATGCATCTGTCCAGTTAACTTAAGACTGTTTAATTGCCAGATCACTGTAAAGACTTGAAATAATCGCTTGTGCCAACCAATTAATTTTGCAGCTTGAATTTCAATGGAGTTCATCTGGCATCTGCTGGACAATTCAGTGATTTCCTGGGGAGTATGGGGCCTGCACAGTTTGTGGGCCGCCAGACTTTGGCCACAACCTCTATGGGTAAGGAACTGAAAATTAATGCAGATATATATGTATGTATGTTTATTTGTATAGCACCATATGTGTAACTATTTCGTTACCAAAAATAATTAGGACTGGTCCCTACTACCCAGGGTTTTTTTAGTCTGAAAGCAGATTTATGGAAACAATGGACAAAACAGAGGGAGGGGGAGATTTAGAAATGGACAAGAATAAAATATGTGATAATTAGTTTTGATTGTTGTTGTTATGTGTTGTCATGTCACTTCCAACTCATGGCAACCCTGTGAATTAGTGCTGTCCAACCTGTCCTGTCCTCTCTGCTCAGATCTTGCAAACTCAAGCCCATGGTCTGTTTTAGAAAGCCATCCTATCTCATACTTGGTCTTCATCTTTTCCTGCTGCCTTCTACCTTTCCCAGCATTACTGTTTTTTTCCAGGGACTCCTGTCTTCTCAGGATATTCCCAAAGTAGGACGGATTCAGTTTCAAAACTTTTGCCTCCATAGATAGTTTAGGCTTGATTTGTTCTAGGATCCACATCATATCTGCAAAGCTATCCTGTAGTGCCATATTTCAAATGAATCATTTCCCCCCGTCAGCTTTCTTTACTGTCCAGCTTTCTCACACATGGTGATTAGAAATACAAGAGCGTGGATGGTCTTGGTCTCCAGTGACACATCCTTACACTTGATTATCCTTTCTACTTCCCTCATTGCTGCCCTTCCTAGTCCCAGTATTCTGATTTCTTGGTTGCAGTCTCCATTTGGATTGATGATTAAACCAAGGTATGCAAAATCTCTTAATTCTTTCAATTTTTTTATTCCCAAATTAACATTAGCACTTGCTTTTTTCACTTTCCCTAACAGCCAATTCAAATCGTTGCTGCTTTCTGCCAGTAAGATGGTGTTATCTGCAAATCTTAAAATATTGATGTTTCTTCCACCAACTTTCACTCGTCTTTCATCTGAATCCTGTCTGGCTTTCCATATAATGTGTTCTGTGTACAGATTGAACAGTTAGGTAGATAAAATGCACCACTGTCTTGACACATTTGCCTATAGGAAACCATTTTGTCTCTCCATATTCTGTTTAATAGTAGTTTCTTCTCCACAATACAAGTTACACATCAGGACCATCAAGTGCTGAGGCACACCCATTTCTTTCGAAACAACACATATTTTTTAACAGCTTTGCTGTAGTCTATAGAGCATAAACTGATCTGAAATTCTTTAGTGCTCTCTAGTAGTCAGTGTATATTTGCAATGTGATCTTGATTGCCTCTTCCTTTTCAAAGTCTGTTGTACATCAATTATTTTTCGCTTCATATAGGGTAAAAGCCTTTGTTGCAACACCTTGAGCATCACTTTGCTTGCATGAGAAATTAAAACATTGGTCCTATAGTTACTGCACTCCTTGGTACCTCCTTTCTTGGGAATTGGAATGTATATTGAGCAGGTCATTGTTTTGTTTTCCATATTTGTTGACATATTCTTGTTAGGATTTTAACAGATTTATTCTCTGTGGCTTGAAACAGATCTATCAGAATCCCATCTATCCTTAGTGATTCTTCCTAATGCTTTCAGAGCAGCTTTCACTTCAACTTCTAGAACTGCAGGTTCTTCCTCACAGGATTCCTCTCCAAAGGAATCTGTCATCCTTTTGTCTCTTCTGTGGATATTTAGTATACTGTTTCCACTATAATCAGATAGTGTGCTTCTCTGTTGGCCATTCAGCATTCCAAGTCTAGGATTACATTTCCCTTTGATTTCTTGGATCTTCTGGAAGATACCTTTTGTTTTCCCCTTTTTGTTGTTCTCCTCTATTACTCTGCACTGGTTGATGTAGTAGTTATCTTTGTCTTTATATAACAGTTGCTGAAAAACTGCATTTAGGGCTTTGATCCTGCATCTGTCATCTTTTGCTTTTGCTTCTCCTCTGTCCTTTCTGATTTTAAGTGTTTCTTACATCATCCATCTAAGTTTTTGTTTTTACTATAGGAGTTGTCTTTTTGCTTTCTTCTCGGATAATAGCTCTGGTTTCAATCCACAGTTCTTCTGGTTCACGATCAATTGAGTTTAGTAGTGCAAATCTGTTATTTATGTGGACTTTCCATTCATCAGGAATGTTTTTTAATTTGATAATGTACAGGATATGTAATGCTTAACTGCCGCTGGATGTACAGAGTACAAAAGATGAATTTGAAGAAATAATGGAGCTCATTGTATGCAGCTTTTTTGGGACTTTCCATAATCCTACAGCCAGTATGGCCAGTGGACCTGTTGGTTCAGGGATTCCAGAATTTATAGTCTAAATAAGTAACATTTCCAAGCTCTGGACTTAAGTGGCCACATCATGTTGCATTAGCTGGTGTATTCACATAAGCCACAAATATTGTAGCTCAGTATTTACATCTTATATATAAACATGTTTTCCTCCAATTTTTCTAGTATCTCTTAATGTAAAATCATTTGAGAAAGCATTCAGATTTTGGAAGCCATCAGTTAGAGGATGGCTTCGGCAGTTAGATTTCCTGATGGATCACTTTGATAACCAGTGAGCCACAGCTCCATTCACATTATCTGATTAAGACTGCCATCATGCCAGCTCAGCAGGAAGAGCAGGAAAACCTTTACAAACAATATTGAGGGTTCACCAGACTTTCCATCTAAAGCAGGAGCAAGCAAAGCATGGCCTGTAGGGTGCAAGTGGCACTCAAGTTGGTTTTTGCTGCTCCCATGGAGCCTTCTGATTTCTTCCTAAGCAAAGAAAGGGGGGGGTTGTTTTCCTGCTCCTAGAATCCTCAGGAGGAATAAGTCTGTCCTTAAATAGATTGAAAAGATTCTTCCAAATCTACATCCTAAATCTTCCAAATCAGAACATTTGATATTTCCTGGCTCAGTATTTTCAGTCCTAGTGTTTGGGGGCAAAATTTTGTCCTCTAAGCCTGCCAAAGCTGCCCACCCTGATATAGGGAGAGAGACATGCGTGAGACCTTCAGCTGTAAAGTCCAGAATTACACAAGTGCGTCACTGCTTTATGTGACAAGTTCTGTTATCACTTCCTCCATATGATTTTGTCCATAGGCTGGCATCTTACAATGCAAGGGATAGGCCTGACCTGACCTGTACTTGTTAATAATCTGGAGACAGTATAGAGCATTCTACAAAACAGGAACAGGGACTGTGTATCCCTCCATATATTACTTGATTGTTTTCCCTATCAGCCCTTAACAACATAACTAGTATTAAAGAAACATGGCCTATGCAGTCCAGTAATCTCTGGAGGACCACACATCCCCCTGTTAATCTTTTAAAGTCCTTAATTTACCAAGGGAGCAAAAAGATTTTATATTATTTACTTTTATATATTTTTTTAAAATTTTAATTTCTTTTGTGCCTGGTATCCAGGGGATGTGGAAATTGGCCTACAGGAACGAAACGGACAACTGGAAGTGGATATCATTCAAGCCCGAGGACTGACTCCAAAGCCCGGCTCAAAAACTCTCCCAGGTAAATTTTCTTCAGTCTCTCTTCAAATGGTTTCTGCCTTTTAATAAATAAATGCCTCAGACTTTGCCTCTACAAAATACTGGATAGGAGCAGTAAACGCTGTTGAATTAAAATGGCAGAGATTGCTTGGTTTTTGTGAAGGAATATTTTTGTTTGTTTGTTTGTTTGTTTGTTTGTTTGTTTGTTTATCTATCTATCTATCTATCTATCTATCTATCTATCTATCTATCTATCTATCTATCTATCTATCTATCTATCTATCTATCTATCTATCTATCTATTTATTAGATTTTTATCCCGCCCTTCTAGACCAAAGGTCTATTCTGGGTGGCATTACAAATTTTAGAACAGTTAAACCAATAAACACGCAATACATCTGTAGCGGAATCCAAATGATGATGTCATTCCTGCATGTTATTCAGAAGATAGAGCAGGAGGGGTGGAGTCAGAATGACAGACAGACTCTTGATGTTTCCCTGTTTTTTTCCCCTTCATGATATCTCCCCCTCCCCTTTTCGCACTCCCTCCACTATCGCTTCATGGTTGTCTCTGAGCCCGGCTTGGGGCGGCCCCAGTTCCTTCTCATTTCTAGTTCTTTCCAGGCCTCTCTCAGCATTAGGCCCCTCAGCCGTCTTTCCTGGCTATAGCAAGTGACTCGAGTAGATCTAGGTAGGAGAAGCCAATATGAGTGGGTATGGAAAGCCTATAACTCCAGAATACATTTTAAAAGCAACAACCGAGAAAACACTGATTGAATAATATTCTGTTTCAAGCTATTTTTCCATTCACTGAGCTACCACCAATCCAGGTGTCTTTATTGGAATGCTCTAAAAGCACATTAATACAAAATTGGCATACTGATAACATACATGCACATTTAAATGCATAGCTACTTTGGGAACCATTTGGCGGAATAGAGAAATACAAATGTAATAGATAGAATGTAAAATACCTAGCTAGTTGGCCTTAAGACGCACCCAACCATAAATGACTAATCTGATCTAATTTCACAGTGAGGCCTGTATAAGCAGGCACATCCAGCAGTTATTGCTTTAACTGCTTCGATGTAACAACAAGACTAAGTGGCACTGGTGCATATGTCACAGGCTCAGGGCACTGAGGAGGAAATCTCAGCATTTCAGCTACCAATTTGTCATGGCACGGGTTTGTAGCTTGTTAATGCTTTTGGAGCCCATCAGTGGAAACATATACAGTGGTGCCTCGCTTAACGGCGATAATCCGTTCCAGGAAAATCGCCGTTAAGCAAAAACATCGTAAAGCGAAAATAAAAACCCCATTGAAACGCATTGAAAACCTTTCATTGTGTTCCCAATGGGCTTAAAACTCACCGTCCAGCGAAGATCCTTCATACGGTGGCCATTTTCGCTGCCTGTATAGCAAGGAATCTGTCCCTAAACACAGCGGGGAGCCATTTTAGTTACCCGGCGCCCATTTTGAAACCGCCAATCAGCTGTTTAAATATCATCGTTTTGTGAAGAATCGGTTTCCGAAGCGGGGAACCGATCATCGCGAAGCGAAATTCCCCCGCTTAGACTATCGTTTTGCGATCACAATTGTGATCGCAAAAAGATTGTCGTAAAGCGGATTTGTCGTAATGTGGGGCAATCGTAAAGCGAAGCACCACTGTAGCAAGACTGGATACAAATTGGATGCAATGAATTACCAAGGGCACAGTTTTCTATATGGGTACTTTTTTAAGGTAATAGGCATACAATAAAAGTAATGTAATGAGTGAGATCTAAGTTACCTCATTGGTATAATATGTAATGTTTTTGATTTACTTTCAAAAGTTACTTTCAATGATAATTTTGAAGCATTTTAAAGACATGTTGACACTTTTTTCAGGTTTTATCCCATTCTCCTGTCGATTGTAAGACATTTTTCAGCAACAAAAGCAACGAAAAAGGAAAGAGAGAACAAGTGACAAATAAAATTATTTCTCATTGTTGCAGTGTATAATAACAGCAGCTTACTTGACAAGCATTATAAAGAATGAAAGAAAATGTCCTTTATATTAACATGGAGGGAGAAAAAAGGTTTCACTATGTGCTTTTCTCCTAGCTGCTTATATCAAGGCATATCTACTGGAAAATGGAGTGTGTATTGCAAAGAAGAAGACCAAAGTGGCTCGCAAATCCTTAGACCCTTTGTACAACCAAGTGTTGCTGTTTCCAGAGAGCCCACAAGGGAAAGTACTGCAGGTAACATGAGCTTGTCTCTGGCTTACTCTACAGGTAGGTTGCCGAGCTAGGAATGACATGGACTGCCAAACTGAAAGTGGGGCTAGGTAGGAGGAAAAGTCATCCTTTGGACTCAAAAGGTACCAAGTAAAATTCTTGGCATGTCCAGTGGGGCAGAAAGATAAAGTCACAGAGATGGGTGGGAAAGCTCTCTTTCCCTGTTGGCGAGGCACTATATATTTCTCTAATATACAAGCATTATTTTTCTTTCTCTGCAAGGAACAATGTAAGGAAGGGGCCAATAAGTTGCATTTTCTACCAAGGCTGTAACTTGAGTGCCCTTGGCCTCAGGGCACTAAAATTTAGAGGGCACCAAAATCTAGAGGTGAATTTAGTGATGATTGTTAGGGAAATAATTTACAACTCTTCCAGTCTATTCTTTCTCTTTTTTTCCTAAAAGCATATGTTTTCTCTTTCTCTGGAGGGATGCCTCATTCTCCTCTTCCTTTTCTAGGGGCAGGGTTGAGCCTCATGTCTCAGGGCAGAGTGAGTGGGAGATAGTGCAGCTTACCCCAGGGGAAAAAATTACTAGTCATGGCTCTGTGGCTGCTACTGCAGCATGTATAACAATCCTTTATTACAAGATATAAATCCATGCCTGTTTCCCATCTGCCATGTGGTAACTACATACAGATTAAAGCCTCTTTCTGCTCTTCTTATTTCCAAGGTGATTGTCTGGGGGAACTATGGACGCATGGAACGCAAACATTTCATGGGAGTTGCCCGGGTTCTTTTGGAAGAACTGGATTTGTCAACTATGGCAGTCGGTTGGTATAAGCTTTTCCCAACATCCTCGATGGTGGATCCAGCGACCGCTCCACTCCTGCGCCAATCCTCACAGCTTTCTTTGGAAAGCACAGTGGGACCTTGCAGTGATAGGTCTTAATGAGCAGAGAAGTGCTCGGGGACTGCTTCTGTTTTTAACATCATGCTGTCAAGGTTTTGTTTGCTGGAATGCTGTCCTCAAGTGCATTGTATCTTTGATCAGTCCTTGGGGGAGCCTGAAGGTGTGGTGATAGCCAAATAACTTTGGGCAGAAACCAAGATGGAGACCAATGGCCTTTCTACACCTAAATAGGTGGAACGGCAGGGCACAAGTCCTAATTATGGAATGACACACACAAGACACACCTTTTTTGTTTTGTTTTGTTTCCATTTTCCCACTGTCATCCATACATCTTTGCTTCAAGTCAGTATTAAATCTTGAAATACTGCAGCAACTTTTAATACGGTGGGGCGGGTGGGGAATGATACTTTTATCATAGTGCTATTTTACAAATTTGAAAAAGACAACTTTGGGCAGTTCTTAAATATTCAAGACATCTGACCTTTTTTGGGAAACTTTCTGGGTTTTGTAAACTTGTTTACTTGTTTCCTTAATGGTGGAGGCTAAGGAACTGCAACTGTCTGTGTATAAATACAGTTGCTGGATTTTTATTTTTTACACTGTGCCAAATTACCAGCAGTGTCTTTTATTATAGGACTTAGGCTAATGTTACTGCTGAAGAAAAGAGAAGAAGAGAGAATATATATAGTCTGGCTACAGCAGTCAGTTCTAATACAAGGACCGTAGCAGGCCAATTAGTTGGACTCTTACACAGAAAACATTGCTGAAGGCAAAATCAAGTCTTGCAGAGTTGAGATTTACTAGCCCACTGTTAGACATGAACATTGCAAACACACACCATACTTAGCCTCAGCTTCTGCTGTGCTTTCTTTGGTTGTGTTGTTGATCTCATAGAATCATAGAATATGATTTGTTTTGTTACTGCATATCTTGTAATGTGCCATTTCCCTTTGAACTAGGGATTGGTTTCAGGTAGCAATACTTTATTCCATCATTGCAGTCCAACTTATGATATAAATGTTTGTATTAAAAAAAATCACAGGAAAATAACAGAAGGTGCCATGTACACAGAGATCTTAGGATCTTAAAGATGGGCGGTAAAGCATGACTGTAATTTTATTTAATCCAGGTGTAATGTGAAGCCATCTGAAGGAAGAACTTTTTTCCAAAGTTCAGGCACAGAAGGCAGTGATTCAGAAGAGCATTTTCACAATTTACAGTAATGACTCCTCTTGTGTGGCTTGTTGGCAAACATGAATGAATGGGCAGAAGTAACATTTCATGTGGTTGTGTGTCTGTCATGCATGTGCCTGTGCATACATCTGAACTATGAAAGGATGTTTTCTACCCATGATGCATTAGTTTCCATTTGCCATAATTTGCACCATGTAGATGTATACATTCCAGATTCAGTAAAATAAGGGTGTGTCTTCTACTGTAGTAGTGCAGGGTAGCTCAGCAGGAGAAGCCTTATTTTTGAATGGAGTTAAGTGCAGTCCAGCTGGACAAGTGATAACTAAGCAACATCAAAGGGATTTACCAGGTCATTCCTACCAATGCCCTGGTCACTGCTAAGGAGATTTGTGAGTGATTTTTAAATGCAAAAAAGAATTATGTAAATATTTTATGTTAACCAATAAAAAGATAGGTATATATACAGTATACATACATACACACACATCCGTATATATGTACATTCTGCATACAGTTATGAAGACAACAGTTGTGAACAGAAGAGTCACATACAGTACAGTAGTTTGGTGATTTCCTTAATAACCAGAATGCACAGTAAAGCATTTTATCTGGGCACAGCTGTTTTTCACAGTTGCTGGCTCCAGAATAAATAGTTTTATATTCGCTGGGATGCTCTATCTGTATTTAGATTTACCATTTGTACATTACTAGCTGTTCTGTTTTGTTCTCATTGCCAGCAAATATTTAATTATTGCTGTGTCAAATCTGTTTTTTCTCCTGTTAGGATTTCGAAGGTTGACTTTGTTCTGCAGTTTAAGATGCTGTTCCCATATGGATATTAATGAGCCAACTGAAATGGCTTCCTGTTTTGTTGTTACAGCACAAAGTAATAACAAGGTTTACACATGGGCTATGAAATACGCATGGCTAAAGCATGATTTGTTATGAACTTTAGACAGTAATAAATTATAGATCATTTGGGATGTAACAACCAAATGACTTAGTAGCATTAGTTCCAAGTAATGAGCTTAGAAATAACCTAATATAGATAATAGAATAAGAGAACACTAAGAATTTAAAGGATCTTAAAATCACGGAAGCTCCAGAGTTTGACTATTTCCCCTCCATGCCTGTGATTTCCATATAATTCCTTTTCCAGTGTATATCTAAATGTTTCTCTGTGTGAGCTGATGGAAGGTAGTTGCATGCTGGTCAAAGTACATTGTGACTCTTTTTAAAGAGTATATTGAGACTGTCTTAACAGTACTTCAAGCTGCCATCTCTTCATTGTGCTCAGTAGGTGCTGCACAGCATTGTACAATATATCTACAAACTAGGATAGATTGGGTTAGCTGTAGAGCTTGGTATCCATCAATTTTTAAAATCACCTTGACTTTAAGACTTGGCAGAGGGAGGTAAACAAACACATTCCAAACCTAGATACGGAGCAACAGACTTTTATCATGCTTTATAAATCAAATGGTTTTTAAAATGTTGCTTAAACCTGTAAACCTAATGAGTCATATTTTGTATGTATCTTGCAGTTGTCAATTCTCTGCACTTGTTGATAAGGGAGATTGGGAGTAGAACTACTGAATCAATCCCTGGTTTTCTCACCTGTTGTTACAGCACAATATCAGGCATGATGTTGAAAAATTATTCGAGCTTACTGCCTCCCCATGATTAGCAGGTCCTGTATTTGTGTATCAACCAGTAACTAGTTGGTTCCCAGGGTAATTAAGTGACAAGTTAAAACAATGTAAAATCAAAATTTATAAATAAATAAAGAAAGAAAGAACAAAAAAAATTGCAGGAGTCAGCTACAGGTAGCAGATTGAAACAGTTAACACCCCAAAGGTGGGAAGCAGAAAAGGTGAGAGAAAAATAACATATTTGCTTATCATTTAAATTCCAGCAAGTTTGGTGCTAGGCCAGGCTCCTTGGGAAGAGAGTTCTGTAAAAGGACACAGCCTCTCTTCTCCCATTTACTATGAGCAGAGCTGCTTGCTTGCTTGCTTATTTCTTTGTTTGCAATTCAGTGGAGCCATTTTATAGTTCTTTTAGAACTGAGCTTGATACAGTTCTTTTTTTTTCAAGACAACTCAGAATCTTTGCTGAGAGGTTTCAGGAGCCATAATGAAAACAAAATGGAACACAGTAAAAACCTTAAACCTCTGGACAAGACCTCCACTGAACAATTAATTGTTCATCTACATTCACATGTGATCCATGCAGAAGGGCTTTTCACTAATTTGCCCATGTCTCCTGAAAATGTGAGCCTAACTGTTGGGCATGCTCAGAATCAGTATTTTCATAGCAAGGATTTGTCTGCCACTAAAAAAGATTGGCAACTCTGTAAAGTAAGCCATCATGTGAACTGAAATGGAAAGGCTAAAATGTAGGCCAGATCTTAAAACAGCTCACTTTCAGTCCATGTGAACAAGATTCAGAAATGATGCATTCCAAACTGTAAGCCATTCTTGTTCTTAGCATCTCTTCTGAATGATAACAAATTGCAAGCTTTTGTGGAAAATATTCCACTTCTTCAGACTTAGCACACCCCGTCCATGAATAGTCCAGAAAAGTTGTGCACAAAAATTGGAGGTACATGTCTGTAAGAGTTGATGCAAGCCTTTTGAGACTGGTCTCAAGCTTCTTTGCAACATGGCACAGTTTGGAATTTTTATACCTTGGATGTAAATCCTGTTACTCTTGAAAGTGAGTAGGCTTTGCATCCAAACAAAGCTGGGTTACAGCTAGTGAAGCTTTTCTACATTTGTCTGCATCCTCAGATAGATAAGTGTACTAGTGTACACATTTTGTACTGGGAGATAATTTAGAATCCCCCAAGAAATAGTTATCTGATATCATTAATATATGGAGCCTCTTTTTGTCTGTGTTACACTTCATAGATCCAGAGAGCCCCTTTAGGTGTGCAAACCTGGATTTTCTCCTTCCTTTCATCCCCAGAATATTCAAGAACTCATTTCTGAAGCCACCCAGACTGTGGGGTGTAGTTTATTTTGTAGCCTTTAAAAAACTTTGGACCCAGGGCTTTAACTTCTTCTCATTTTGACGTTGCAAAGCAAGAGTTCAGCATTTTAAATCTGATGTTTTACTGCCTTTTAAAAGCTTAAATCAGAACTGTGTCTATGTACAAATTTATTTATTACTTCTTTAATGAGGATGTAAAATCTGTGTTTGGAAATATCAGCATGTGTCCGATTGGTGATTGTTTCTGTGCTGGTACTTTTTGCACCCTGACATTCCGTTGCTTGTTAGTGGAAGTGACTAAGACTCAAACTGTCTGTTTGATGGCTTGATCAACCTCTACACTATGCAGTTAAATAACTGTAACAACTGCATCAGTAAGAAGAGCAAAGCAGAATCCTCCCAGCCCCTATACCAAGAACACAGAAAATTTGAGCTCTGAGATTTATTGTTGTTTCTTGTTTTCTTGAAGCAGGGAAACTATTCTCATATCCACATTTTCTTCAAATGCAAAAGTGTTTTCTTCCAGGTCTTATTAGGGAAGACACTGATCCTGTATCTAGATGCAGTGCTTCCTCAAGTGATGAAAAAGATATAATAAACATTATCCTGGGAGGATTCTGCTTTGCCCAGGTCAAAGTCTGGGTATCCTTGAAATTATCATTGGGATGTAAGCACCGATTGCTTTGGCACATTTAATTGTAGAGAAATGCTTAGCATGGTAAATTATGTTGCTGGGGGGGGGGGACCATTGTAAAAAAAAGGGAAAGGGATCATTGTTGTCTAATGAGGCCCTTAGTCTTCTGGTAGTGTTTTATTGCCCCTCATTAATTCATAGGGTAGAAATAGAAATAGGGTTCTCTTACCGTTTCTGGCATTGAACATTCAAGGGGAAAGTGCCAATGAGCGCACGTGTCAGTGACTTCCAACCGACAGCTCTTGTCATTGCTCAGGAAGAGCCTGAGTTTATGCAGGAAATTGTTTTTGAAGTAGAGAGTTGAAGTCAGATTCCCAGTGTCTCTTAAGCATCAGGTCATTATAAGCAGAGCTCTTCTTGAGGATCAGGGATTGAGGAAACCCAGGCTGTTCTTAGCTCAGCCCATGCTTCATAACTCTGGGATGAAGGACATTTGAAGTAAGAGGAATCAAATTGTGAATGCCTTTGTTGTATATAATTACACCTTTGTAATGTTTTTAATACTGGATCCCTTTTCCATGTACTGTTTTAACAAACCTAAGTCATCAGGCAAAAGAAATGTCATAGGTTTATGTTTAGAATGAAGTACTGTAGATGTTGAGGCAGTAAAAATCTCAGTATAAAGCATGTTTAGCAGTAACTTCAATAGCAGGACAACTTTTTAAATGAAACTTATTTTAAGTTAGTTTGCTACATGCCATTGAATAATTTTGACACTGGAGAAATATTTTCTTTAAAAACAAAATTGTTGTATTTTTTTTAAGATTATATAATTTAACTTTTTCTAAGGAAAACATTTTATGCTCTTGGTACAATGTGTATTCATTGTTTTTCCTGATCCAGATAATGCTTAGTCACATTTTAATCAAAATAAATGGAATGCAAGTTAGTTACAACTAACTTGGTTCCCATAAATTCAGTGAAACTTCAGCACATCTAACTTTCTTTGAATTAATGTTTATTGGCTTAGCATTAGATGCTTTGTGTTACATTTTATCTATTTGTATTTTTCCCAAAATGAAAACATTTGTAAATAGTTATCAGGAAATAGTCCTATAGATACTTCACTTGAACCTGTTGTTAAGTTGATATTAATTAATATTGTGTAAGAATATTTGCAATTGTTCAGTACATCTCTGCTAAAGATCTTCATCTAAGATCTAAGCCTTTCTTGAAGGAATTGATGTTGTATTTTAAAGATGAAACAAACAAAAAAAACCACTTAGCTAGTTTGTCATAATTGTGTATTCTGTAAACAAAGCAAAAGTCTTTTTTATAAAGAAAGTCTGAATAGGCATACAAGCAATAATATATTCCTTTTGGTGTGTGCAGGTTGTGACGTGCAGATGGCAGTACATGGGTACAATATGTGATGATGACAGACTTGGTTCTTAAGAGGATCAGCTCTAGACAGACCATTGTAATAATGGTCCTTAGGATAAAAAGGAAAAGAGAGTGGGCTATGGAAGTAGTTTAATTCAATTATACTTGCCATAAGCAAATGTACTCACTGGCCATAAAATCTTTGTGGTTGATTTTCATGCTACAGTGGTCAAACATTCTGATCTAAAGCTCACAAATGTGTCTGATCTCCTTGTTTTCAGATAATTGTTTAGCATTTGTCACTGTTGTTTCAGGCACCACCACTGCCACTGTTTTATACTCTGAATCTGATGACGGATCTGCCCTCTAATGGCCAGTTTGGCAAACACATCTCTCCAGAACTAAAGAGAAGCAGGTTTATTTTTCCTGAGCTGTTGTTCTGTCCTTTCTTATTGTACATGAAGCAGCAGGGGAATTCATGCACTTTAGTAAACAAACAAACAAAAACCCACACGTATTCTTTGTGTGTTTGTGGTTCACATGACATATTTATTGTTTCTATTTATTTTATGCATATATTTATTTACTGCCTTTCTTCCTATGTAAGGAACTAAAGGCAATTTCCAACATTTAAAACAGAATAAATAAATGGTGCTTAGACAAACAAAGAATTAAAACATATGAAAGCATTATTAAATTATATAGAAATATTATAATACTGTAACTATCACCTGCCATAGCATAAAGTGTATAAATTCAGATGCCAAATGCCTGCTTAGAAAGCTGTGTTTTGCTTTTTTTTAATTTATGGCCTACCAGTGGAAAGACAAAAAGGAGAAGCAGTAAGATTATTCATCCATTATTTATGTGCACATTTTACAGAAGATGGAGGGAATCTGTCAGGTAGTCCAGATGGAAATTCATAAAATGGTAAAACATCTTCTCCCTTCTAATTTTAAAGTTTAATTGGGGAACAGGGAGCATTCTACTCTCTAGCTATTTAGACTGTTACTACTAGATTCTCTTAACAATTGATCTTACTAGCAGGAATTTCTGGGGCAAGCATTTTAAGGCATCTGGAGGGCCAGTTTCTCCAGCCCTGGTATAGGCCATGTAATCTTAGTCTACTGATCTGGTAATTTAAATAACCATTCCTGAAAATTAAATTCCTTTGTGGAAACTGGAGGCTGATGAGCACATTTTCTATAGCCAAGTACATTTGCTTTTTTGAACGTAGAGAAGTATGTAGTGGTCCCGGGTTCAACTCCATCCCTTTCATGTTTTCACTTGCTCTCTCTGTCAGTTGCTAGCCCTAGAGCAAAAGAGGATCATGGAAGAGCATTCTCCAGTCAACAAGTGGCGTAACTGGCCAGAAGCCCAGGCTGGTAAGGCCCTGGCAAGGGTTTCAAAGCCTAAGAAGCACAGATTAAGAATGAGGTAATCCTTCATTTTTATTCATCACACAACACATTGTTAAACTGTGGAATTCACTGCAACAGTATGTAGCATTGACTGGACATTAAAATAAGATTAGATGTATTAATCGAGGATGGCCACTTGTCCTGGTGCTCTTATGAGCATGGTCTGTATAGATTGGATGAAAAAAACAGGCCAGCTTTGTAGGTCAAGCATGGAATGTGGGCTTGTCAGCCTTTCCCATTCCTTTTTCCAAAGCATCCTCCTTGGTTCTTCTCTTCTGGATTATACAGTTGTGTATACCCTACAACCTGTTATGGCTATCACAGGCTTGAAATTCTGCTTGTGCAAGCATTATGTAAAACTAGGCCCATGTATGTTTGCTGGGTATTATGCTAAAGCAGCAAGGTATCACACAATTCAACAGTACATTTGGCCACATAATTCCCATTGCAACTGTTGTGCTGGTGGAAGTAAGTGCTCCATTGCGTAGGGCCTGAATCAGTGGATTCAAAGAAAGAAGACGCTATCTAAACACCAGGAAGAACTTACTTATTGTTGGAGGTCTTCAGCAGTGAAATGGACTCGCTTAGAGGGTGGTAGACTTTTCTCACAGAGGTTTTTAAATAGATGTTGGATATCTCATCGGAGATGCTTTATCTGTGGATCTCCTGCTTGGAATGGCTGGACTATTTCACATTGGCAGTCCCTTCCAGCTCTATGATTCTATGGCTTAAATCCAGTTAAGAAAAATGGCATGTGTATGTTTAACTGTAGCTCTGGTGGCCTGTCCTTCATCTTTGTTAGTACTTTCCTCCCATATAGTTCATGATAGCTTCAACAATTCAACAAATTGCTGGATAACTCAAGGGTTTAAATGTTCAGCTGCAGAGCCATAGGTTGGGAGTTTGATTCCCCACTGTGCCTCCTAGAGCAGTGGTCCCCAACCTTGGACCTCCAGATGTTCTTGGACTTCAACTCCCAAAAATCCTGGCCAAAACAGGTGGTGGTGAATGCTTCTGGGGGTTGTAGTCCAAGAACATCTAGAGGCCCAAGTTTGGGGACCACTGTCCTAGAGGACTCAATGATCCATAGGGTCCCTTCCAGCTCTGAAGTTGTAAAAGCAACAAACAGACACAATTAGGCAACAAGACATCTGCTAATTATATGTTACCATGGTCTGTTATATCATCAGCCCCTACTTTTTGGAAACCCTTATTCTGTACTAGACAGAGTCTGTTCTTTTTTTAAAAAAATCAAGCCCTCAGAAGTCCAACAGAAACTGTCATCTTCTAATAAATTCCAGAGAAGTTTTAGTGAGGTGCCTGAATTTCCCCTGCTTTTAACCTTCTGTGGCAGATTGCTCTGTGCACAAGAACAACAGCACTGTATGTTGTGGTGAGGTATAAGTTAGAACATAGTGTCTGGACATTCATGTTGGAGACTGCTCATTGTCTTTAAAGGAAGATACTGATTTGCTGTTTTCTTTGTCTGTCAGTTTTATCCAGACAATACGCAATGATTGGGTAATTTACAATCTAGTGTTAAAACAATGAAATTGTTGAAAATAATAAAAACTTTTTTCCTAAATCGCGTCAGCAGCTTTTATTCAATCTGTGCTTTGTATAATATTGCTGGTTCCTTGATACTGGGACAAAGTATTAAAATAAAAGAGTAGTTCTGAATGTAGACAGGAGTATGCCTTTTAAAAACCAGTAATACTAGCTGAAATAAAAATAATGAGGGGAGAAATCTATAAGTTCCACTTTTGTTGTGTTTCTCAGAAATCCACCTCAACCTTGGTGGGGTGACTCCCCTGATTGGAATACAATAATTGGAGGATATAAACTATTCACAATGAAAAGAAAGTGATGTAGAGTCACAGTATATGTAAAAATACTTATCCCTGCACAGAAATGCAGGAGAATGGGCTTGGTTGACCCATTAAGACCATCTGGATTAATATAGCAGGGGCAAAAAACAAAAGGAACATGGTAGTTGGAGTCTACTACTAACCACTCAATCAAGGAGAAGATGCAGATGAAACCTTTTAAAAACAAATTCCAAGAAATTCAGAAACATGATGTAGTAGAAGTGGAAGATTTGAATTATCTTGACAATTGTTGGGAGGCAAATATGGCCCTTCCAAGAAACTCCTGGCTTGTGTTGCTGAAAGTTGCCTCCTACAAAAAGTGGTGGAAGAAACTAGAGGATCAGTTATCTTTACTTGATTCTAACCAGTAGAGAGATCTTGGTGTAAGTAGTGGCAGTAAGGGGAACTCTGTGACCATGTTCTACTTCCGTTCTTGATGTCAAAGGAGACAGAAGCAGAGTGTATCTGCATGCGTATGTTGGATTTTAGGAAAGCCAAATTTAATAAACTCAGAACAGTGATAAGTAAAGTTCCATGGTAGGAGATCCTAACAGAAAAAGGAGTCCAAAAGAAAATTCTTAAGGTAGAACTACAAACATTTCCATTAAGAAGTGAAGGTGGAGAACCACAAAAAAAGACCAATTGAGCTTCAAAAAAAAAAACAACTAAGGAGCTGCAACCAAAAAAAGGCACTTGCTTATTTAAATTACTTATATGCTGCCTTTCTGTTAACTAGGTGTGGGCTACATAGAACAACTATCAGATTGATCCAGTTAGTTACACAATCGTACCCTTGAGTGCTTATCAATGCTTCCTTCTCGAACTGGGAGGAGGTAACAAGTAGGGTACCACAAGGCTCAGTCCTGGGCCTGGTACTCTTCAACATTTTTATTAATGACTAGGATGAGTGGGTTCAGGGAATGCTTATCAGATTTGCAGATGACACAATATTGGGTGGAATAGCTAACACCCTGGAAGACAGAAACAAAATTCAACAAGGTCTTGATAGGCTTGAAAACAACAGAATGAAATTTAACAGGGATAAGTGCAAAGTTCTACACTTAGAGGGGAAAAACTCACCATAGTCAAAAGATGGTAGAATCTTGGCTCAGTAACACCATGAGTGAGAAGGATCTTGGAATTGGCTGCAAAAAGCCTAATGCTATTTCAGGCTGCATTAACAGAAGTATAGTCTCCAAATCCCATAAAGCACTAGCATTTGGCACGAGTTGGGCCTCATCTGGACACTTTAAAGAAGGATACTGAAAAACTGGAACAATTTCAGAGAAGGGCAACAAGGATGATCAGAGGACTGGAAATCAAGCCCTATGGAGGCTGAAAGAACCAGGAATGTTTAGCTTAAGAAAAGAAGACTGAAGGGATATATTATAGCATTTTTCAAATACTTGCAAGATTGTCATACAGAAGAGGGGCAGGATCTGTTATTGATAATCCCAGAGTGCAGGACACATAATTAAGGGGCTCAAGTTACAGGAAGCCAGATTTTGGTTGAGTATCAGGAAATTTCCCAAAATTATTTGCCCATGAAGGAGGCTTGTTCTTTTCTGCCTCTTTCTCAAAGTCCTTTGGGATTTGGGCTTGTTACAACATTCTAGAGTGGTTAAGAATGCTGTATGCTGCTGTTTTTATTTTTCCCTTTCCACTACTCATCTCTTAATCACTTTGCAGCTTCCCTAACTGCTAAGTGCTAACCCTTCCTGATCCATGGTAAGTCCTATAGAAACAATAAGCTTGTGACATCTTTTCCTGGGCTGTAATTGAAGTGTGGGAAGCTGCAGGACGAGGTGGGAAATTGTCAGCAGCTACCAAGATTATTGTACCATGAAGGACAGGACATGCACACTTACTCCTCAGTCATCATAAAAGTAAGATAAATACAAGAAGCCTGAATCTTGCTCATGATAATTTCTACTTCTTTGAAATACTTTTGAAAGTGAACAACTTTTATCTCTTAAATTAAGTACAAATGATTAAAAAAAATCTTATGGGAGAAATTTTTGGCTCAGCATTAGTCATAAAGGTTTAATTGAGTGCCAGGGGCTTTAAATTAAATAGAGAACTTTTCTACATTTGATTACTAGGGAGCTGGCTTTCCCATTCACTAATTGCATAATATTGCATGAGAGTCTCACTGGACATAATGGGCCAACATTAAGAACTTCAGTACACGTACCTTCAAAGCAGCTGGACTGAGCATGTGGAGAATCACATTTTATTTCCTCTAGCTACAGAACTGCTTCTTAGGCCATGGCGTTTGCGTCACCATCTGAGCATTAAGACCTGCACAAAATCATATGCCAAACAACCTAATTACAGACTTCATCAATATCACTAAATAGGGCAAGACATCTCTGATTCCCTAGTAGAACGTCACACGGAAACTAGCAGTAGAACCATACAGCTGATTCTCCCAAGCTTTCTGTTGCCTACATTTATTGCCATGATTTGGCTTGTAGGGATCCAGAGAGACCTATACTGATCCAGTGGGTCTCAGGTATGGTTATCTCTCACTTGGCAGCCAGGCCACCCATGCTGTTGAGGGTAGATACTACCTGTCTTGGGACACTATAACCATGAACGCTTGCCTCTCTTTCCCAAGGATTCCATGGCAAGATGTACATGTGTGGATCCTTTTGTGTGTACAAAAGGGCTGTACTGGAAAAAGTTAGGCAGTAAGCTTGTGTGGGCAAAGTGTGGCTCTCAAGATGTTGTTGGTCTGTAATTCCCTAAATCCATCACCATTGGAAAGGCTAGCATGAGGTGATGACCACTGCAACCCAACAACATCTGAGGGACCATACTTTGCCCATCCCTTCATTTCAAGGCATACATGGCATGACTTGCTGAGGCTCTTTGTAGCCTTAATGCATGACCAGACCCAGACATCTTGCTGGCAGCTGTATTTTACAACTACACTAGCAGCAAGACAACACCTTCCCCTCCAGCACCCCACAACTGAGAATAGCTGTCTGCCTCCGATTGGAATAGTAGGTCACACAGAACATGCCACTCTGTTGTTCACTGAAGGAGAACAACATCATGTTTTCTTGTTACGTGGCTATAGTCAGCCACATACACTTACTGTACTTGTGTTTTTTTATTTAAACCGTTTTAAACCCACGTTCACCTTAAAAAGGATCCAAGGCTGCTCACAACAATTAAAAGACAATATTTAAGCTAACAACAGTGATTATACAATGCTAAAAGAATCAATGAATGCAACACCAAAAAACACAAGCAACATCAAAACACATTAAATGCAATAAGGTACACTGGGGATAAAAACGGTTTCAGAGAATGTCCCTTAGTTAGGTTCTGACACCGGTCATCTGGTGACTGTTTTTTTTTCTCCATAGCAACAAGGCTGGTTCTGTCACAGTGGCGGGTTGATATCCTCAGTTTTTAAATATGAGCTGTACAAACATGTAGTTGGCTACAGTCATGTAACAGTGAGACAAAAAGAATTACTACAACCATATATTGTACATAAGATCTTTCCTAAGAGAGAATGTGTGTCTGTGTCTGTCTACGCTTTTCTCTCTTTCTGAAGGTTAGGAACATGTAGCCCATCAAATGTTGAAGCCTAACTTTCATCAGCCCCATTGGGTAAAGCAGGTAATCAAACTCGGCAGGGCTGGAGTCTGCCTATATCGGGTGTACACAATGCTAAGAGCCACATGACTTTAGAACTCCCTCCCACAGGAGGCCAGGCTGACTCCATCTTTGCTGTCCTTCCACAAGAAGGTGAAGACCTTTCTCTTCAGGCAGGGTGTTCCTTTGTGCCTGGGACTTAAATGGATAGTTGTGCCTTTCTGCTTTGAATGTGTTTTTAGTGCTGCTTTTGTTTACCATTTGTGTGTGTGTGTGGCATTCGTTTGATCCGTCTTAGCATTTCTATATACTTAATGTTTTTTTTTTTTTGGCTTTAAATATTGTCTCTTAATGATGTAAGCTGTCTTGGGTCATTTTTAAGGAGAATGGCAGGGAAAATAAATAAATAAGTTAATTAATTAATTAATAACAGGAGCTATATGTGGAAGAAACCATGTTCAGTACTCCCTTTACTCACTCGAAGGAGGAACATCAGCTTCTGGCAGTTGCCAGGCAACTAGTGGCCCTAGCATCAATATCTCCTAGCAACTCACGCACCAGAAGACCAGCAAATCATTAAAAAACAGATGCCCGCCCTTGCTAGTTTATCAGATACCATATGAACATAGTTGTACTCGTATGTGAAACAAACACCGGTGTCAGCGGTTCGCTCACTTAATTTTCTCAGTCCTTGTGGAGACCCTGACATTACTTCTTGGGCCTTTAATCTGTGGCTATTTGTAGTCTGCCATGTTCTTCACCACACAGGTAGAAACTGCAAGTTCCAGAATAAAGAAAAAGCTTGAAAATGATACT